TAATTTTGTCATTACCCTGACTCTCCAATTCCCTAGTACCTATCTAGTAAACCTAAGTAATTGACTAATGATCAAGGGAGATAGATGCATGTTTATGTGTTTACCAGGTAAACCTAAGCTCCTGTTGATATTGCTCAAATCTTGCTCCAACTTTGCCAGCCAAAATGTTTGTTAGATAGTAAATGAGGGCAATAGAAAAATATTTTATATGGTTGTTGAAAGTAATAAAATGAAATGGCTTTCACATTAGTTCATAAAAGCCAATTTGCCTAATAAAAATGAATTTTGGTTGTTAAAGGAATGAGTCGTTTCACATTATCATTAGAGAAAATATCTAATAAAAATTAACTTGGAAGTAATGAATTTTATTCTTTTAAAAAATAAAATCAAATTCAAATACTAATATTCTATTAGGGTTACTGGAATGAGTTAGAATGGAATAGAAGGAGCATTCTATTGAAATGGTGAATGATCATTCCATTTGTAATGTATTTTGTCATTATTTTTTAAGTCAACTAAACATGGGAATGAATATTTTAATGGAATGATTATTCTATTCTATTTTATTCTAATGAACCAAACACTATTTAAATGTATTTACTCTAAGAGCACTAAATATAGTTTTCTAGAATTTTACAGTATGCACCCCTTATTATATGCATCTTTAGTTATGTCATTTTCTTCTTTAATAATGATATTATTTTGATATGTTTGGTTATTCCTCATGTAGCGTTTAGTTATGACCTTTTTAATTTTTTTTAATTATGACTCAAAAGTATGAAATTATATTATTTTTTATTATTATAAGGTGCATATGATACATATCATTCGAGAAGTGTGTACCATAGCCTTTCCCAATAACTTTTCTTAAGACCAAGTCAAGTTGGTGGATATGAAAGTTAGGGGTTGTTTGGGAAATGCTAAATTAGTATACTTTTTGACTTTTTACGGAAAAAATGTAAAATATGGGTTGAGTTTGAAGTGATGTGGTAGAGAGATGAAATAACTTAAATAAAATGATTGCGACTTAAATAGGATAATATGCAACAACCACTTATTCAATATAAATTCCAACACTGTCACAGATGAATATTCACTATTCTTGGAGCCATCCGGTACAACCATTAAAAGAAGAGAGAATTACATATCGGTAAATTGTTTACAAAATATTTGCAGTTCATTAGTAAAAAAAATTTATGAATTTAATTGTTAATATTAATAAACTTTACTAAAGAAGAAAATGACATAACTAAAGATGTATATGGTACATGAAAAATCTAAAAGTCTCCTAGATATTGATTTGTGATTATATATCAATTTTAACTAGTAAATAGCAACCTCAATCAAACAATCAAAAACAAATCGACAAAATGATTTTACGTGAAAAAATCACAATTGGAGGGCCTCCAATTGTGAAAAAAAAAAAACCACAGACAAAAGTCACAAAACAATCCACTAAGACGACATAAAGGAATTATACAAATGTACTCTCAATTATCTAGCGAAATTCATGCTCAAATCGAACCGACCTCAATGTGTCTCTTCCAACACCATCTTCACCTCGGAATTGTCTTGCCCAACGTTGAATCCACAACGTCGATGTTGAATCCACGACGATGAGCCACTCCGGAATCCACCAAAACTTCATATCCAAATTCCACAAAACCTACCGAAGAACAACTCTCTATTTTTTGAATAAAACAAACTAAACAAACCCTTTGATATAATCTACTCAATTCATGATTAAACTCTCACAGATATCAAAAGGAACAAGTAAAGAAGCTCCAGATAAAAATCCTACTACCTAAGAAGAAGATCTGGAAGTCGTACCTCAAAACCTGACTAAACCGCAGCTTTTATAGCAAATAGGTCCACGATCTCTGCTCGAGCACAAGAATGGACGCTCGAGCGAACTAACTAAAACGCGTATGGCTAAACAAAGTTTACGCTCGAGCGCAAGAATGGCTGCTTGAGCGGAAAAAAAAAAAAAAAAAACTCCCAGTACTTTTGTAGGCGAGTGAAACTTCTGAAAGGTCGCGATCTCTGCTCGAGCGCAAGAATGTCCGCTCTAGCGGACAAACAACTTCGATTGTAATTTTTCTTTTTGCTTCGGGGGTGCTACCCCTTGACCCCGCCTGGGCGCTGCGCCCTGGACCACTGCAAGCTAACCGGGCAGCTCGATCCCTGACATAGTCAGCGAAGTGGAAAACATGAAAGAATTAACACCACAAACTTCTCTGTAAGCCACAATTCGGGTTAGATTTGCATCTAAAAACTCATAGCCTCACTGAAATAAATGTTGAACAAAATTACAACTAAAAGGAGTTTTGTCAAACGGAATTGCCAAGAACAAAAACCTAACAATCTCCCCCTTTGGCAATGTCGCTATTAGTGCCACAATCTCCAAAACAACTATTAGTGCCACAAGAGTATATGAAAAAACATCAGACATTTGACAAGATTATCTTAAAGGATGAGATGGAAATATGAAAAGATGTAAATTGAAGATTTTAAGAACATGTAGCATGAACAGATGAAAATTCTAAGACACATGTAAACACGCTCAGAAACCATTTTGACTTAAACTTCTCCCTATTTTTGTCATGAATTGTCAAAGGAAGCTCCATCAACGAAAGCAAGAGCATAAACCACACAAGTAGGGACAAGATGATGTAAAAAAATAAAAAAACTGCGAGAAATGAGCGATAAATAAGCAATGGATAGCAACATACAAACCAAGTAATGCCAATCTCCCTTACCAAACCAATCAATGTAAGGATAACTCGAACTCCCCCTCACAAAAAACAACCACAAACATTGAAAACAATGAACAAGAAGAAAACAACAAAAAAAAATATGGTGGAGCAAGCAAGGATTTTCATATTTGTACCTTAAACCACACAAGATTATCCAAGAAACACAATTACTTGAAAACACAATGTGCACAGCCTCTAGAAGATTCCTCATAAAATAAAGTGATGCATTATGTAAAAATCATAGATCCCATGATAAAAGTGTGCGTATGACTCTTGGAGTTCAATAGATTCAAATCCTAGTAGTGATCTGATAGCTGGACCTCAGGCAAGAAAATCTAAATACAAAAAACAGATAAAGATCACACTTTTCTTGTGTGATGTATGTTATTTAATCACACCTTTTAAGTTTTATTAAAGTGTGATCTTTGGGAGTGTGATTAAAAAGGGTCATTTTTAATCACACTTTTTAAGTGTGCTTAATAACATTTAGATCACACCTTTTAAGTGTGATTAAAAATATTTAGATCACATCTTTTAAGTGTGATTAAAAATATTTAGATCACACCTTTTAAGTATGATCTTTGGAAGTGTGACTAAAAATAGTCATTTTTAATCACACTTTTTAAGTGTGATTAATAACATTTAGATCACGCCTTTTAAGTGTGATTAATAACATTTAGATTACATCTTTTAAGTGTGATTAAAAATATTTACATCACATCTTTTAAGTGTGATTAATAACTAATAAAATCTATGATAAAAAAAAGATTCGACATATTTGAAAAATAATCAATATTATTTTTGTATGCACATTTGAAGAATGTAATACACACTATATACTATATTTTGAATCATAACCACATATTGAATAGAATAACGTCATATATTTCATAAATGGAAATTAAATATTCAAAAGTATATACAAAAGAATTAAATAAAAAAAATTAACTGTGCTTACATATATTAAAAAATGAAAAAACTTAAAAAACTAAGTTCTTTAATTCTTGGACCATATTTTGCATCTCTCTAAAAAATTTCTGACCTGAAAAATGAAAACACAAATTAATCCAGAAACCGCTGATGCATATGAATAAACTAAAAAGTTAATTCAACAAACCAAAATAAGAACATTAATCATTTCTGGTTGATCTTAATTCAGCATAAAGGCTAAAATCTCCATAGAAAAGTGCCTACAAGCAGCAGTAAGAGAAACGAAGAGAGGGAGAGTGTCTAATTGATAATTGCCAAATTAGGAAAGTTATATATGAAAGCAACAATATTCCGTAGTTTGTTGACTAAAAATATATGAAAGCAACAAAACAAAAACAAAAACAAAAAAAAACCTTGTTTTTTCTTTGCCATGATCCAACATTTCCTAGTGCAACCAACCCCACAAAAGCAAAGTTCGCGGTCATAAGTTGTTCATTAATGTACCTAAAACAAAAATTTTATATCAGATTCAATATCATTATACACTTGATAATGATGAAGAAGATAGTGTAGTTGAGCTAGTAGAGGTAGTTACTTGTCACGGACTAGTAATCGGCCACTAACTGTACCCCGTTAATCAGCATAAGGGAAGTCTTCTGAAAGAGGGAAATCATATGGCCAACTTTGGGTTTTTATCAACATCTGAATATATGCATATGAGATGAGATTGTTAATTTTGTTTGTACTGATTACATTTTATGTTGTCAAAAATTTCATGCCCAAAGTAGTACCTGTTCTTTGGCATCTTCCCAAAGTGTTAGGGCATCCTCTTCGACTGAAACTGAGTTTAGATAGATCAAAACAGGGCCAAACACCTTCTTCCATGGCTCGCCATCTCGCAATTTTATTGTCAGATTGTCCCCAGCATAATGGGTGCTGAAAAACATCTGGAGATAAATAACACAATCCTTTAACATTAACATCTAGTAGTAAGGAAATTTGTAAAAATTTATTTATATACAACATTTTCCACTTATTGAAAGTGCAAGGTTGTGCCTCAATAAGATAGATTTAAGTAGTAGGTCATATGCTTAACTGGAAAGTTATGCTCTGTTCTCCATCAATTCCTTTTTCAGTCCAATTGTTGTGACGTAGTTTTTCCTATGGATGTCATCATCATAATACAAAACAATATTTGTTCTTTTAGGCTTCGTTTGGGAAGTGGGAATTGGTCAAGAATTTGCATCTACATATATTACTTTTTTCATTTTTTTTTTGTTCTTGTCATGAAATTCATTTTGTAAATGGGCCACTGTGTTGGGCCAGTGAGTAAAATTGATGCCATTTGAAAGTGTGCTCTCTTGCAAAGCATGATATCTGAGTGATTAATAGCAAAGGATTGTGCAAAGGGAACAATATCGGATACTTATAGATAAGGTGGTTGGGCCAACATGCGAGGTGAGATCTTGCTTGACAGGGCCACCTGTACGGAACTCATTGCTGGGTGTGATCATCCAGAATCCAACAACCGGGTTGGAGCATATCCACCCATGAACCCGATTGTCTTTGTCATCACATGAATATTGGTACTTATCATCCACCTACATAACACAACATCAAAAAAGAAAAAAAAAACTAGCATATCTAACTACACAAATGCAATCTTTCCTCTTGTGATTGTCAAGTCTTCATGAAGGAACAAAAATATCAAGAAGTTAACACTCTTGATGAATCACAAAAGGGCATTTTTGTCAATTCACAAAACCATTCCCACAAAACTTAGGAAATAGGACTGTCTTAGCAATAACTAGTAGGTGAATGAAAAATGGTCAAGCTTACCTCCCCAGTGAGCTCTGGATTGCTTGGATTTGTCAACAGAACAGCTTCAGGATAGTCAAGGACTAGGCCAGCTTCACGGTCCTGTGGCGTTGGCATGATCCTTTGCCTTTCATCCGATATAGCCATGTACTGAAACCTAGTCATGTATCATATCAAGATTAAATTTTCCTTAAATTACTCTGTTCATGTCAAACCTAGTCAACAATTTAGAATAGCAGGACTGTGAACCATGTCTATATAAAAGTGTGGTTCCAAAAGAACTAGGATAAAAGGCATGTCAACATATGAAACTCTGTTAATGTACTGCGGCATTACAACCTAATAAATGAAAAACATAATGGCCCATTAGATCTGAAATTTTAACACTGACTGACCGGCTGACTGACAGTTGGGGTGTATAATCTCAAACCAGTCTTCACCTATTTGAACCCTAACCTCAAAAACTGGGTCGGTTTAACGAAGGGTTGGCAGGTAAGCAATTTTTGTATCTATTGTTTATTTTATTTTATTTATTTTTTTAAGTCCAACAGAGATGCAGGATGAGTCCATGATTTATTGAAAGAAAAAATAATAATTTCCTTGAAATTTTTGCTGTGGAATCCTATAACAATCCTAACAATCAGATGTCCTCAATAACCATCATCAAAACATTCTACTACAACTACACTTACAGATTGCAACCTTTGTCTTTACAAAGTATTCAAGGTCCTCCCTCAATCAACATAAAAAGCTAAAATAGTATATTAATATAGTTATCGTTACATCACATTCCACTGAAACACCCCACCGACACTTGTCGACACTCCCCAAGATGTGTCCTATCTTATTATTTTTAATTTTTTTTTTCAAAAGACATGTTTTGGATACTTAGGATACACAAGTGTCAATCACATAGAGATGCATGGAAACACATTGCATGTTTGAAGAAATAACTGGGAATCGAATGATAAAATAAAGTAAAGAAAAATTATGCCTATTAATCCCTCATCCTTAAAAATTTTTAGTTTTAGAAATTCTAAAACCCAAAACTTCAATTTATTTCCTACTTCAGGATAAAGGTACATACCTACAATAGGACAAATAGAATTGCTGCATTTGCAGGGGCTAGAGAAAGGCTCATCATCCCTCCACGCTACTCATTTGGTATATACCTGTGTATGGAACAAGCAGCAGAGGATATATCAAAAGTTTCTCTCAAATAAACAAATAAATGAATGCAATAACATCCCAACAAGTAAAAGCCACAACCAACTAGTAATTAGAAGCAAAGAAGCACTAGTATAATTTACATAGTCCTCAATCTGGCAAGTGAAGGTAAAAGAAGGCCAACACAAGCATGAAATAAGCAGAATAGTGCTACAAGAACTCCAATTTCCTGCACATACAAGTACAAACTGTAAAAGTTCAAATCCAATTTTCAAAAACAAAATATTAGGTAAAAATAAAAGAAGTGTTCTTCAAACAATCATAATTAGAAGTTTCGGTACCTGATAATCGTAGGCCACTATGGACAAAACAAAACCCATTACTATGAACACATATACCAGGCAATCCTCAGTACGAAGAGATAATGGTCCACTGAAAAACCATGGAAAAACTGTGCTTCCTAGCATTCTGGCACCCAGAAAACAAGGATATATCAACCCTAGATGTGCTTCTCGCTCATCAGCCTAAAACCACAAGAATATCATTTAAATCAATTGGTAATCAATGAAATTGTTGCTACATAGTGTTATTGGAAATAAAAAAAATACCAGACGGAGTCTCACTATTATGTAGCACTAGAAGGGACAATCTTTTTTATTGTCCAATAAAACATCACAATAGACTGAGGTACCTACCTGCTCTTATTCTCAAAATTGGCATAGATAACAGGTGGCAAAAAAAAAAAAAGAAGAAGTAAATATAAGATCCATTAATAATAATTTGTCCTTTTGACATTCCAAGAACCAAAATTGCCAACTAATTGGGATGAAATGAAACTAGACTTACAAATATTTTATGTATATATCATGCTACAGACTCGATGTTAATTGCACAAACTTATGAATTCAAAAAACACAAAAGGTAAAACAGACAAATCAAATCTATTAATAACTAACTTTCACCTCCTTTCAACAGAAGCCACTGGATGGGACGAGAGAGAGATCCAGGACCATCAGAAGCAACAGAAAACCAGCTCAAGCTACTTTGCTATAAAGGATCTGGTCTCTAAACCAAAAAAGAATTATATTTTTATATTTTTAATCTATTAACCTACAATATAAAAAATAAAAAAATAAAAAAATATTTTATAGTAATTACACAACAAATGATACATCATACGTATAAGATAATGTTAGACACAAATATATGAGAAGTGTCTAATGAAGTATCGGATACATATCTCATACTATAGTGTCCGATACAATTTTTTGATTTATTTTAAAGAATTTATATAATGTAGATCATGACTTAAAAAATCTTGTACTCCGGCTCCGGCTAAGGCTTGGGCTTGTTTTGGAAGCAAATATACAAGAAGAATGAAATTTCTACTTTTATTGGCAGGTGGAATCATTTGTTACAGGGTCTCAAGAATCACATGACCCATCCAAATAGTTTGTATTTTGTTGGTTTCTCCTCATTTTGTTTGTTTCTTTTCTTGGTGGATCACATTAACAAAAAGGATCTGCTATAATGTTTTTGGAGAAGTTTGAGATATCAGAATTAGGGTCTCAGAATTTACTCAGAATAGGGATGTATGGTGGAGATTAAATTCATGAAGTGTGAGATCCATGAGTGAAATAAATTTAAATCATTAATTGTTATTTTTAAATAAATTCTGAATTTATAATATTGCCGAAATTTTTTTTTTTAGAGCTCTCCTTCCTTCCTCTTAGGATAGTTTGATGTCAGAGATTCTTGGATGTAAAGAAAAACCACCACAGTTATGGATTATATAAACAAGCATTATACCAATCCATACAAGTTAAGATATATGAACCAAGAGTAACACATTTTCTACATTGTATATAGCCAGAGCTATTTTGGAGATACAATAATACAATAAATAGTGTTTGGTGTAGTTTAGTTAAAAATTCATAATTTAAAAGTAGAAGCTATCAGTATTTTCATTGCAGAGACATGTATTCGAATTCAACACAACGAGTGAACATTTTTCAGCTGATAAAAGTCAATAGCAAGAGGAAATAGTGGAATGACGGAAGAGAATGTTACCTGGGTAGAACAGAGAGAGAGAGAGAGAGATTACGAGCTGTGCAATGGCGAACAGCTAGGGCTCGTTTGCCCTTTCGGCTGCTCCTCCGCCGCTCGCCGTCGATCGAGAGAGAGGGGGTAAGAGAAGAGATTAGGGATTTTTGGGTTTGAGATTGGGGATTTTTGATAATTTGACAATACTTGAAGTAGAAAGCGTAATCAACCGTAAATAATTCAATAAACTCAATAAAGATCTAGGTTTGTTTGGAAATTGATTTTTTTTTTTTTCGAATAAATTTTCAACATTTTACAAAATACATTTATAGAGTTAATTTTTATAGTGAATTTTTTTTTTTTATTTTGACTAAACGCCGTAATTTCTTCTTTTTTTTTTTTTTTTTTTTTTTCGTCAAATTTTTTTTTTTTGGTTAAAATATATATGTTTTTGTAGTTAATGAATTTTTTTTAAAAAATCTTTTTTTTTTTAGTTACTAAGAATGAAAATTTATTTGTTTCATTTTTATTTTAATGAAAAAAAATATTATTATTTTTATTTGGTAGAAGTAAGGGTAAAAAATAAAAAATTTTTTGTTAGAAATGAAATTTAAATAACAAAATAATGTCGTTTAACTTCTTTCCTTTTTTTTTTGCGACGGGGGTTGCCGTCGTCAAAAAAATTTATTTTTTGTTAAAATATATATATTTTTGTAGTTAATTAATTTTTTTTTAAAAAATCTTTTTTTTTAGTTACTAAGATTGAAAATTTATTTGTTTCATTTTTATTTTAATGAAAAAAATATTATTATTTTTTATTTGGTAGAAGTAGGGGTAATATTTTAATGAAAAATATTTTTCACTAAAATAAAAGTTAATTTTCTGTGGTCAATGAAAAATATTTTTCTACGGCCCATTTTTTTTTTGTTATTAAAAATTATGAACTAATTTTTTGTGGTAGAGTAGAGGGAGTGGCAGTAGTGGTGAAAGTGGTGGATAAGAGATGATGATGGTGGTGGTGGTGGCGGCGACGAAGGAGATTAGTGGTAAAGTTGTGGTAGTGGTAGAGTAGATGAAGTGGCAAGGGTGAAGGAGAGGTAATGGTAGTAGTAGTGGCAGTAGTAGTGAAGGTGGTGGATAAGAGATGATGGTGGTGGTGGTGGTGGTAGCGAAGGAGATTAGTAGTAAAGTTGTGGTAGTGGTAGAGTAGATGAAGTGGCAAGGGTGAAGGAGAGGTAATGGTAGTAGTAGTGGTAGTGGTGGCAATGGTAATAGTAATGGTAGTCGTAGAGGTGAAGTGGCGACAGTGGTAGTAATGGTGGTAGTGGAATGGCGTTTGCAGTAGTGGTGAAGGTGGTAAAGGAGATGGGTGGTGAGAGAGAGAGAGATGAGTGGGAGACAGATAGAGAAGAGAAAGAGAGAGAGAGAGAGAGAGAGAGAGAGAGAGAGAGACAAAGACAGAGTGATGAGCGAGAGAGAGATAGAGTGATGAGCGAGAGAGAGACAAAGTGGTCGCTAAAAGTGCATTTTCTTGTAGTGGATAGATAAATCGAGAGGGAGCTCAGTAAATAGAGAAGACGAAAGGGAGAGAGTGACCAATGCGAACACAGTGGGAGAGAGAGAGAAAGAGAAGAGAGAGAGGGACAAAAAGATAAAGAGATAGAGAGTGAAAGACAGAAAAAGAGACAAAGAGAGAAGTGAGATGAACGAGAGAGACAAAAAGAGAGATAGAGAGAAGAGAGATGAGCGAGAGAGACATAGAGAGAAGAGAGATAAACGAGAGAGACATAGAGAGAGATAGAGAGAAGAGATAAGAGCGAGAAAGATAGAGAGAGATGAGAGAGATAGAGAGGAGAGAGGTGAGCGAAGAGACAGGGAGAGAAAAGAGATGAGAGAAGAGATAGATGAGTGAGAGACACAGAGAGAGAAAGACAGATAGACAGAAAGAAAAGAGTGATGAGCGAGAGAGAGAAAGAGAAGAGAGAGAGGAAGATGAAAAAATGGATGAAAAGATATAGACAAAGAGATGAGAGAAAAAAAGAGCGAAAAGAGATAAACGAGAGAGAGACAGAGAGAGATGAGCGAGAGAGATAAAGAGAAGGGAGACACAGAGAGAAGAGATGGGAGAGATAAACAGAAGAGAGATGGACGAGAGACACAGAGAGAAAGAGAGAGACAGACAGACAGAGAAGAGTGATGAGTGAGAGAGAGAAAAATAAGAGAGACAGAGACACAGAGAGAAAGAGAGAGACAGACAGACAGAGAAGAGTGATGAGTGAGAGAGAGAGAGAGAGAGAGAAGAGAGGCAGAGACAGAGAGATAGGAAGACGAAAAAATGAGTGAAAAAGTTCCGTGTCTAAAGCCTCCTTTTCTAGTAGTAAGTCGTCTCTATCATTCATGGGTAGAATAGAGGCGCGGATTTGGGAATTGTATATTTTATATAAAAATCAAATTGAAATATTTTATACAATCACACCTATTTAGGGAGTGTGATTAACAAGTAGTAATGTATATATAATCACACTTTAATTAAAATGTGTGATTAAAATATATATATATAATCACACTTATTTAAAAAGTGTGATTAAAAAGTAGTAGTGTATATATAATCACACTTTAATTAGAATGTGTGATTAAAAAATATATAAATAATCACACTTTAATTAGAATGTGTGGTTAAAAAATATATATATAATCACACCTATTTAAAAAGTGTGATTAAAAAGTAGTAGTGTATATATAATCACACTTTAATTAGAAGGTGTGATTAAAAAATATATAAACAATCACACTTTAATTAGAATGTGTGATTAAAAAATATATATATAATCACACTTTAATTAGAAGGTGTGATTATATATATATATATATATATATGTAATCACACTTAATTGAAAAGTGACATAAAAAATAAATATTATCACACTCAATCAAATTAAGTGTGATTAAAATATCAATCTAATTTTTTTTATCACACTTCCAATAAAAGTGAGATCTTTTTTTTTGTCAAAGTGTGATCTTTAACTATTTTTGTAGTAGTGAGGAAAGTTAAATCACTAGGAATCAAGGAGTATTTGTTAAGTAAAAATGGAGGCTCCCCCTTAATCGATGATTTTTTTTCCCTTTATTTCATTTGGACATTTTTTCTTTGCTTTCTTTTGCACATTTTTTCTATTTTTTTTGCACACATTTTTTTCTTTTCTTTCATTTGCACATTTTTTTTCTTTCTTTTGCACACTCATTGGCGGCTTTCACACTCAAGAGTATGGAAACCGAATCAGAGAAGCATGGATACAATAAGGATAACCTTGTTGGTGACTCTGATGTAGCCCTTTCCTAATGGCTAGACTACAAAGAACTAAGGGGAAAGTCGTGGAGATGCAAAAAGATAGAAGGTGGTTAAGAGATTCAACATCACCCACGATGTACTAGTATAGGTTAATTTCTCTAGAAAAGCAAAAGACACAATGCTAGAAGTCCATAGACAAAATTGATCACTGAGGCGGAAGATTCCGATATTTGCTAATCTAAGAGTGTGTACAGAATGAGACATACTAATCAAATAACATACACTTTGAAATGAGTAATGACCATAAAAAGTACACATATATTAACATATAATGGATATTTTCATCAATTTCAATATGCAGCAAGAACTTCTCAAAAATTACAAACTTGCAAAATTATACTAAGAAAATCTTTTTGGATTTTTTTTTCTTTTTTAAAACAAAGCAAGACAAAAAATGAACAAGCACACACGAAACGACCCAAAAAGAAAAAAACAAACAAAAAACCCAACCAAAAAAAAATAAAATAAAACGAATAAGAAAATTAACACAAGTAAAGTTTTCTTACCCAAATTGCTTTAGTATGAACAAAGTTATGAGAATTGCGGTTCTTGGGTGGTGTCTTG